TGAGTGAGGTTAATGAGGTCCATATTTCTGCCCAATCAGTAGGGTCGTCGGGTGGGCCTTGGTCTTACTCCCGGCTTTTATGTAGGGCAGTGAGATTTGTGTGTGGTGTGTGGCCAGGGACATGTCAGATATTTTGACCTTTTCTTGCGGGGCTCTATAGCAGTCTCGTTCAAAGGGTGTCATTGCCGATGTGGATGCTTGGCGTATTGCCGGGTTGGAGGCAAAGCTTTTCAGTTGCATAAAGCGGAATTGGTTGAATGTAGTCAGTGTTTTGGCTTCTGGAAGACCAGTGTATTCTAGAAGTTTTCCTGCTGGGTATAGGTGGCCCAGCCAAGTGATGTCTCTGTGTTCAAATTGTGCGTAGTGCTTGGGTGTCAGGCCGGGAGGGAAGAGTTTGTTACGTAAAATGGGGATGAGTTGTAATAGTCCAAATGAGAGGTCGAATTTGTCTCGGAGCTTGTCTCACAGGCCAATGGATTATGTGATGGCAGGAGATGTTATGGGGGGGGGCAATGGTCTGTGTTGTCTCAGGAGCCATATTATAATGAGGGGTGATCAAAGCCAAAAATGATGCTCCAGGTCGACCCATCTCTTTTTCCTTGGGGACATGCCATTGTTGTATCTGCGCCAGGTGGTACGCTTGTTGGTAGAGTTTGAGGTTTGGGAGTCCCAGCCCACCTGATCATTTGCTGATATATAGGGTGGCCCTACGTGTTCTTGGTTTGCGGTCATTCCATATGAAGGTATCTATTGCGGTTTTAAGTGTTCTGGTGTCTGAGGTTTTGCACGGGATCGGGAGGGCCTGGAACACATGCAGGAGCTGGGGGAGTAGATTAATTTTTATTGATGTTACCCTGCCTATCCAGGATATTCTGAGTGGCTTCCATCGGTTAAGGTCTTCATGGGCTTCATGGGTCATTGGCATATGAGTTTGTTGGAAGGTTTCAAAAGAGAAAGCTAACAAGAGGGGGCATCCTTGTGGGGCGGGATATTCGAGAGTAAAAGGTAGCCTATTGGTGCTGCGTATGTTGCTTTTAAGAAGTTAAGGAATTCAGGTGGTAGGCCGAATCGGGTTAATATTTCAAAGAGATAAGGCCATAGAAGGCGATCGAATTCCTTCTCGTTGTCTAGGGAAACCATAGCTAGTGGTGTGCGTAGTCTGTTAGCATACCAGATCAGGTCGATATTATGCTGGGTGTTGTCTGACACTTGTCTATTGGGTATGAATCCTACCTGATCGGGGTGTATGAGTTTTTCCATGTACGGGTTTAGTCTCATTGTCATTACCTTGGACATCAGTTTTAGGTCTACATTTAGTAATGAAATTGTCTGGAAATCTCTGGGTTCGTCGAGTGTCTTGCTGGATTTGGGGATGAGCGTCACGATAGCGCTGACCATGTCTGGCGGTAGTTCACCTTGTAAGAGTATATTGAGGACCCTCATCAGTTTAGGAATTAGGAGCTCACTGAAGTTTTATAGTAGAAAGCCCTGAAGCCACCTGAACTTTTGTTGGGTTTAAGGGAGCCTAGGGCTGCTGCTATTTCTTCATCTGTTGCTTCAGCTGATAAAGCTGCGTATAGAGTTGGGAGTTGTAGGTTATGGAAAAAGTCTTCCGTCAATCTGTGTATTGTGTCCGCATGTGGGTGAGATGTGTGATTGTAAAGATTTGTGAAGTAGTTCTGAAATACTTCACCAATTTCGTCTGGTCGGGAGCTAATTTGGCCGCTTCGGGTGTGGATTTTATGCATTTTTTTAGAATCTATCGTGATCTTAAGCCTGCGAGCAAGCATTGTGTCTGCCTTGTTGCTTTTTTCATAGTAACATTATTTAGTCCAGGTTAGTGCTTTGGTTGTGTCCTGCAGGGTTAGTTGTGAGTATAGGGTCGGGGTTGGGGTGTTCTTGTGTAGTTCTTCTAATCTTTTAAGTTTAGACATGGACTCATGGAGGAGCTGTAGTTGTTGTTTTTTGCAAGCAGTGGCTATAGCTTTTATAGCTTTGCCTCGGATTACTGTTTTATGTACTGCCCAGAGGGTGGTTGAGGAGTTGACGGAGTGCTTGTTCAGTGTGTGGTATTTGCTAATATCAGAGGCTATGATGGCCTATGTTGCTTTGTCATGTTGGAGTAGCGGGTTGAGTCGACAAGTCCAGGGCCTTGTCATATTTGGAAGCATTATGGATATGTCGGTGTGGTCAGAGCACGGGATGTTCCCTATTCGTGTGGCTAGTACCTGCATGGTCAGTTGGGGTGAAACTAGGAAGTAATCTATCTGTGAATAAGAGTTGTGTGGGTGAGAATAGAAGGTTAAGTCTGGTGTGGCTGGATTGTGGGCTCTCCATATTTCTAATAGGTTGTGAGTTTGTAGAAATTGGGAGAAATGAACGTCTGAGCCTGTTGGTCGTGGACCCCTTTGGGATTCCTGATGACATGTGTTTAGAGAGTGTGGACCAGAAGTTTGGTTCTGGGGTTGACAGTGTGTATACCGAGGTGAACAAGTATGTGTTATTGTCTATTTTTCCAGTTATTGTGACTAGTCTACCTCCTGCGTCTGTAGCAGTAAATATGTCTGTCAGGGTGCATGTTGATTTAAAGAGTATGGCGACCCATTTCGATTTGGCATCAGGGGATTTGGAGAAAAATGAGTCTATAGCATCTGTCCTTAAGAGGGAAGTGCTTACGAGAGGTAAAGTGGGTCTCCTGGATCAGTAGGACATTCGCCCTCTATCTGTGGGCCCTCTATTGGAGTAGGGAGTGTCGCTTGGTTGAGTTGTTAAGGCCTTTAGCATTGATTGAGACTCAGAGCAGTGGGGTTTATGGTGTTGTGGGCCATAGTTGCATTGTGGGGGCTGGGGTAAGGTGGGGAGGGGTGGGAGGGAGTTGAGTTCCCAGGGTTGGCGTGGGCTGCGGAACACCAGTGGGTGAAGTCACCAAAAAGGGAGGGGGAAACTGGGAAAGGGGGTAACTACTGGTCTTACAAAAGAGGTCAGTGGGGCTTCAGTTCTCCTGCGAGTGGGTTCTCCATCATCGGTTGATAGGTGTCCTTGGCGTTCGGCATTGACTGCAGACATAGGATGTGGAGCATTTGGTGAACCGGTGGGTTAAGTAGCTGTGTGTGTAGAACTTTTATAGACTTTGTTTGTTAGAGTTGCTCACCTAGGGTCACGGTCGTCCCCTCCTGTTCCCCGCCCGAACAGGGCATGGGGAAGGAGAGGGAGCAAGCACCCCAAATGTGCTCATGGGTGGTGTCATGGGCCACAGACATTTAGTGTCTTTTCGGGATTCACCATTGTGTTTGTCAGTTACGGGTGATGCATGTTGTCAGTGGCATGTTTGTGCCACCTACGTTTCCTCTTACAGTTTATCCCCTTAAGGACACAACTTCTGGAATAAAAGGGAATCATGACGGAATATTTCTGTCATGTGTCCTTAAGGGGTTAAGCTGGTGTTGAGTAATTTTGAAATTTGAGTATAGACGTTATATATCTTAAAGATGTAAAACAAGCATTGTGAAACATATCTGAGGTTAGAGGCATAAATCAGCAATAAAACATAGATATTGGGTTATCACACTTGTTGTTAGCAAACATTGTAATTTTTCCCATCCCCCCCCCCTCCCTCATCTCCCTCCCATCCCCTTGGTTTAGAGATAGGTTTGTAGTCGTGTACCGTACAGGAGGCATATGGTGGGGGGGTCCATGGCATATATTAATGTGTACTGTTTTCGGTCTGGTATTAGCCAGGTATACATTAAGTCTGTAGGTCGTGCATCTTTGCGGTTCAGGGGTTGGGTGTTGGTAGAAATAGGAACACCCAACCTTCTCTAGAAGGTTGCCGGGGGTTCGGTCTGTTGGTCAGCGGTCAGTCTTTTGGTGGCGGTGCTTCGGGTCGTGACTGGGAGGGTCCGTCAGGGGGTGTGATGTTGGGCGCATCCCAAGTGGCAGATGAAGGTGGTATGTCTCTGGGTATGTGATCTGTGGGTCTGTAGTGAGTGGTGATGTGGGCATTGGGTCGTGTAGTGATAAAGTCAATGTGTGTGGGGTGCGGGTTGTGTGGTCTGTTTTGCTAGGCAGTCAGATCCTGGAATGAGGTTGTGTTGCTTAGATTGGCTAGTAGTGTCCCTATCTTCAAAGTGAGTGGTCAGGTAGCGGATGAGAGGGTTTGTGTGCTAATGCGTGGGAAGGAGTGGGTGAGGAGTGGTAGTGTGTGGACAAACTGTGCTGTGGCTTGGTTGTCAAATAGCGTGAAACACAGATGCCAAATACATAGAGAATACTTAAGTGTGCGCTGTGAGTAGGTGATTGTAGCTTCGCTTGTTCATCGCGTCAGGGTACAATTCTTCTTTCAGGAATTTGGGTAAGTTTGGGCGGCCACAAACAGAGGCTTTAAACTGTCCAAACCTTGGTGTGCCAACGCAGGCTGGAAGAAATATGTGCAGTGCTGCAATCTGTAATGGAGGTTTGCTTTAGTTTTGTCCATTGTTCTCCATAAGCTTCCAGGGCGTTGGCGGTTTGTCTTCTGGCGGGCTGGTCTGGCATGGAGGGCAGCGGCTCCCAGAAGTGAGGGGACGATTGTGAGCCGTGGGAAGCTGGTGGAGCTTCTAATTGGGCGTTGGGTATACCTAGGTGTTCCAGGAACTGGTGGGCCTCCACCGGGCGAGTGAGAGTGAAGGTCTGGTTGTCCCACTACACCGTTAGTTTGAAGGGGTGTCCCCAAGAGTATCTGATTCTTTGTTGCCAGAGGATCTTGGTGACAGGCTTCATCTCGCGCAAAGTGTGACAGGAGCCAGGTCTTGGTACAGTTGTACCGGGTGGCCATCGATATGCATGGGTGCGTCTCGTACTGCTCTCATTATGGTTTCTTTTGTGTGATAGTAATGGAGGCACGCCATAATGTCCCTCTACTGAGAAGGGTTGATAGCCAGGTTGCACAGGGCTCTGTGGGCCCTATCTAAGAGTAACTCCACTGGTGGGACATCGGATAGGAGGGCGCCCATTGATTCTTGCTAGGTGGCCATTTCCGTTACTGGTGTAACTGATTCCGGGAGCCCCCGTATCTGGATGTTCCGCCTGGTCCTGTAATTGAGTTCTTCTTGGGCTTCTTCCAGTGAGGCAATTTGATCTTTTAGTTCTTGTAGTGTGTCTCCATGCTTGTTGGAGGTAGTGACCACCCACTCTATCTTGTCTTCCATGTCGTGTGTACGCCTAGTCAGGTCTGACAGGCCCTCCCTTATCGAGGCCAAGTGCTAGGTGAGATTTTATGTCGACTGACATGTGCAATAAGTCTTCTCTGTTGAGTGGGGAGTTGTTGGGGAGCCAACTTGCCTCACTGGTGTCGGAGACTGAGTCTGAGGCCTGGTGGTCCTCCACACGTGGCGTGTCTTTGTCGGACCTGGCACGGAATATTGGGGCCGCCGCCGATCAGAACTTGGATTTCCTGCTGCCACCCATGTTGATCAGGGGATCAAGTGTTCCTGGGCTCGTCTGGGTGCTTTCAGTTAGTTTAGGATGCAATCCAGTATGTTTGCTGCTAAATCACCCCATTCTGTGGAGCCTCTACATTGAAGGTTAGGTGCCGTCACTGGGTTATTTTAGGTTTTTATGATGTTTTGGAGTATTTTTGTGTTTGTTTGCCTCTCTGTTTCTGGGAGATAATTAGCTTACCGGTCTTTAACGCAATTATCTCCCAGGCCCAGAGATTCCTGGGAGGGGCTTGTGGTGAAGACAGTTGAGACCCCCTGCTGGGTCTGTGTATAAAAAGGCTGTGTTTGGATGCATTAAACCGGTTGTACTCCCAGACAGGGCCGTTTGAAGGAATTTGGGGGCCCCAAGCAAAATGGACATGGAGGCCCCCCCAACCCCCAACCCCCACCCCCACCCCCCACACGCACGCAAAGCCTACAGTAACCACAGCATATCCAGTTTAAGTTCATCCACACTTTATATAAATAAAAAAGGTTTACAGTGCAAATACTGCTTAGAGCTCTGCCCTGCCCCTTAGTGGTCTTTCCTCTCCCCCCACCCTCCCCTACCAGTCTCTTCTCACCCCCCCTATTCTCCTCACCTCCCCCTTCCCTGTGTTTTCCTAATCTCCTCACCCCCCCCTCTCCCTGTGTTCTTCATACTCCTCCCCCCATGTTCTTCTTACTACTCCCTCCCTGTGTCCTTCTTACTCCCTCCCCCTCCTTGTGTCCTTCTTACCCTCCCTGTGTCCTTCTTATTCCCCCCTCCCTATGTCCTTTTTACTCCCTCCCTTCCTCCCTCCCTATGTTCTTCTCACCTCCCCTTCTCTGGCTGTAGCGTGGCGGAGCTCCTCTTCCTCCTGGCTGTCAGTCCGGCCGGGTACCGCGCGGTACAGGAGATTCAGTTTCCTGTTCCCGGCCGAACTGAAAGGAAGTGAGCACTCAATGTGCACTTCCTGTCACTCCGGCCGGGAACAGGAAACTGAAGAAGGGGAGGTGATGACAAGAGTGCTGCAGCCACCTGAGGCTCTCTATAGGAAGCACCGGCTCTGCTTGAGGCCCCGGGCCAGCTCGGGGCCCCAAGCAGTTGCTTGGTTTGCCTGCCCGCTAACGATGAGCCTGCTCCCAGAGCTATGTTACTGGGACGGGAAAGGGCTATAATCACTGCTCAGCCCTTGTCCCAGCTTGTGGAGGCGACTGGGGCAGAAACACTGAGGTTTTCCCCCGTTCCAGCAAGGAAGCGGTCCTTGGCAGAGGTACCCAGCCGGGGTACAGGGAGATCCGCTACAATATGTATCTCTGCAGCATTTTTAAGTAAGAAACACTTTTTCTATATTCAGTTTTACACATATTGCTTACAAATAAACTTTTCCATTCTAAAAACTGGTATCATTATTTATAAATGAAGCAGAAATTGGCATTCTTTTCTTGGCATTTAAAGCTTTTCATGTTTTATTTTTAAAAGGCTTTGAGGCATTTTTCTCTGGATGTATTGACTGTGTGCAGATGTGTTTAATATGAAAGAAAGATCAAACTATAACTGGCAATTAAAATGTATCTTTTAATTGAACAAATCATACCTAGACATTAAGGGATATACGAATATGCAGCCCTTTGTATTAATCAAGGCTAAAATAAATGCTAGACCACAAAGTTTAATCCTTTTTCTGTCCATTTAGATAACAGCAAAATAAATCATTGCAACTTTCCTTTTTTAAATTTTGCTACAAAGCAACTAATTCTTTTTTAACTTGGAGATTCCGATCAGGATCTTCCGTGAATTATCATTCTACTTGTGTTCATGTGTAATTAACATAATCCGGTGTATACTCTTTTCTGAGAAGGTGCAAAACTCTATTTCTTCCAGGTATGTATTGCATGTGTCTTTCTGATGTCTTTGGGCCAAGGATTGTTTGCTTTTGAATTAAAATAAAATGAGTTGAGCGGCCGGTAAATCTAATAATCCACCCAATTTAAAAACAAACATTCTACCTGTATGACATGTTTAAAAGGTTGTCTCTCTAAATGGTTGTACATACATACATAAATACATGACAAGTGATGCCAATATAGCAGGAGTATTATAGAATGCAGGGCCGCCATCAGAAGTTTTGGGGCCCCTAACACAGCTCAAGGACTGGGCCCCCCGGAGCCCACCTTCAAATCCTGTCCCCAGGGCCCGCCTCCAAATCCCATCCACAGGAATACACACAGACACAAACACACTCACTGATACAAAAATGACACAAATATACACACACAAAGATACACACATACTGAAACAGACATACACACACACACAGGCATACATACTGACACACATACTGAAACAGACACACACACATATACAGACACACAGACATACATAGTGACACACAGACACATACTAACATACATACACACATACAGACAGAATACATACATACTGACATACATACTGACAGACAGACATACATACTGGCAGTGATACATACATACATACTGACACACATACATACATACTGACAGACATACATACTAACAGATATACATACTAACAGATATACATACTAACAGACATAGTAACAGACAGACATACATACATACTGACAGACATACATACAGACGTACATACAGACGTATATACTGTAGCGGAGTAGTAGTATTATCCACGGTATCTCTGCTGGTAGACAGTATGAAGCAGGTAAAATGTAGGTAAAATGCAGGTAGCGTAATTACAATCCTTTTCTCCCAAGAACTAGACGGCACATAGCTTGGAGGTCAACTGAGGGCTTTATTGGAAAGTCATCCAATTTATACTGTATCCCATGCAAGGGGTTTCTCAACTGTTACAACAGGGGTTTTAATCAAGTGGACTGTGTGGGAAACTGACCATGCAAGGTCTTTTCCCAGAATTCCCTACTGTACAGGGACCCAGATGACATCAGCAGGCACAATTAATCACATTAATAGCTAGTACAGTAAAAGGTAAAATTTTACATTAAATTCCATAACTTCAACAATTTCCCATAGATTCACATGAACAAACTCTTATTAGACTGAGTGGATAATCTAATGAATTACCGCTCCGATCCCTGCAACAAACGCCACACATAACATGAGTTTAAGTGAATGAGGGTTTACAAGAGAAAACACACAAAATGCTTCAGTTTGCCGAAGGAGCGAGTTTCCCGAACGGCCTGGAAGTCCAGCGGTGTTTTGAAGTCAGGTAGCCGATTTTATTTCCAGGCACTCGACGACCAAACAACGCTGAACTTTTAGCGCGCAAAGATGGCCGCCACCACATGTTCGGTATACGAACGGCGGCCACCTGCGAAACCCATTAGCAAGCATTTGAAACAATGTTGCAACACCTTTATGAGAGACACACGACCGCTTCGGTGTGGTCTGCTGTTCAGTACTTTTGTTTCATGAACAGAGTAAGAAGTTACTGTTCGTGAAACTTTCTATTGGATGCTGTCGGCTATTCGTGCCGTTAGCATACGAAATTATATACAAGCGGCAATGTCCTTTTACCCGAATTGGATCAGTTCACTGTACGAATGGTCTTTTTCTTTTACAGTCTGAGGTGGCTAGATTTGCCACAATGCTCCCCCAGAACCAAGCCGGCATACACAGTCTGATCCCAACGGATGAGCTTGGGGATGTCAGGAGGAGTACTCACAGATCACTTTTCGAGTTCAGTCTGTCTAGATAACACGTTGGCGTTGCCGTTTTGCTTCCCCGGGCGGTAATGGATAGTAAACTCAAAAGGCTGCAGTGCCAAGCTTCAGTGCAACAACCTGTCCCCTGCCACCTGGTTCAGCCACACCAACGGATTGTGATCTGTGAGTAGCGACGATGGTTGTCCGTACAAATAGGGCTGCAGCTTCTTGAGGGCCCACACCACGGCCAGGCATTCCTTTTCGATGGCAGCATAGCTTACTTCCCGGGGTAAAAGTTTTCTGCTTAAGTAAACCACTGGATGCTCGCCGTCATCAGCTCCGACTTGGCTCAGTACTGCCCCCAATCCAAACATCGAATCGTCTGTATGGACGAGAAAACGTTTAGTTGGATCAGGAGCAGCAAGTACAGGTGCATTGACAAGAGCAGTTTTTAGTTGCTGGAATGCCTGTTCACACTCTGGGGCCCATACTACTAACTTAGGGAGATTTTTGCGGGTTAAATCGGTGAGGGGTTTGGCCAGGGTGCTGTAATCGGCACAAATTTTCAATAGTACCCTGCGGTACCTAAGAACACCAGGACCTGGGTTTTGGTACGGGGGGTTGGCCATTTGGCTACAGCCTCTATCTTGGCGGGTTCTGGCTTTTGCTGGCCGCTTCCTACCCGGTGCCCTAAATACTGAACTTCAGCCATCCCTATATGGCACTTACTTGGTTTAAGGGTTAACCCTGCCTCCCTAATGCGATCTAATACAGCTCCTATATGGGTCAGTTGTTCGGTCCAGGAATGGCTGAAGATTGCTATGTCGTTTAAGTATACGCAAGTGTACTCCTGGAACCCATCCAATAGCCGATCCACCATCCTCTGAAAGGTAGCCGGAGCATTTTTCATCCCGAATGGCATGACCTTAAACTGGTACAGGCCAAACGGGGTGACAAACGCCGACTTAGGGATGGCGTCCTCGGCTAAAGGAATTTGCCAGGACCCTTTACAAAGGTCTATCGTGGTGAGGTACTGGCCTCTGGCCATTTTGTCTAGGAGCTCGTCTATCCAGGGCATAGGGTAGA